ACACAGACAGCATCGTCAGAAGGAAAGTTGATAAAATAAATTACAAATGTTGTATTGTTCTAAACTCTTCTTTGATGATGAACGACTCTCAGCACCACCTTTATTTATTAAGCACTTTAAAATCAAACGTTGTGCTAAACATAGACAAATAACATAAACAGAAAATAAAATCAAACATGTTAAAAATAGAGAATTTAAAAAAAGCCAACACTTGATTTTACTCTAATATATATTTTTATTATTGTTTGTTTAATTTAAGACAAAAAAAAATTAAATGAATGAGAGGTAAAACTTGAGGGGGTAGGGACAAATAAGTAAATACTCCAGCCTACTCCTTTTCAAACAAATAATGGAATGATATTTTGTAATGATTGTGAAGGCACCTGTTTGAAATGTTTGAAGTAAAAATGAGCTGAACTGAAATTTATTTATATAGCACATTACCAACAGGCTGCACAAATCGCTTTACAATGTGAAATACCACTACAACAAATAAATGCACAACAAAGATGCAGAGAAGAAAAAATAAAAATGAATAAATATGCTGTGTGAATTTTAGAGGTCATGTGACTTTATGCTGCGTTATAAGAATTTAAATTTATCTTAAAACTGCTGTAAGCCTGTTATACATTAGATTATCTACAATGTGCAGTATCGTGTATAATACGATATTGATTTTATTTTGAGCATTATTTAATGTGGGAGGTGCAGAAACGCAGCCATCCTGGCCGCACAGAGTTTGTGTCCTCACGCTAATCCCACTTTATTCAGGAGTAATGTGTTGTATAAATTTTACTTCTTCGAGTGTGCTGTGTGCATGGATTTTTTTCAAGGGGGAGAATAAAGATGCAGACATTGTTTTATAAACTCTGTTGTTCGTATTTGAATCAGTTAGTCAGCCACAGGAACAACACAGTTTCATTACAGTCAAAGCTCACCACAAATCTGTTTCTGGAATGGCCTTCCCAAAGCCGGCTGTGTGCCGGGAAGCCAGCCACTTTAAAAGAACTCTGCTCGAAAGGTTGAATGTCAGGCGGGTTGTTGATGACTACAAAAATGCCCAGTCAAGTTACAACAGAGACACTTAACCAAACGTTAGTGGGGTTTATAAATACATACTTTTGAAACAGTTCATGTATTTTGGATGATCCAAAATAAACTCTTCTTTGTAAAGCTGAACAGCTGTTCCACCCTGGAAAAAGAAAAGCCCCAAACTAACATGACATTCGACCACGTGATGAGTGGATGTAAACGTCTGAGCACGACTGTAAATATGTACGTTATGTGTGTTTACGTATAGATGTTAACACGTGTGGGCTCGTTACCCCTAAAGTCAGGTGTCCGAGGAAGCTTCCACAGCGTGTGTGTGTTGGTGTCTTTATGAAAAGCAGAGGGACACACACTAGTGTAAGATTTCAGCCTCAGAACTAAAGCTAACCGAGAGCGACGCCACCTGAAAACAGGTTTATGTTGCTGCAGTCGGACTCGGCGGGCGACAGAGACTTGTGAGTCAGAACTGCTGAAGTGAAAATGAATACACACATGCACGTAAGTCTTCCCTTCACCTCTTCCTCCTACCCCTTCCTTCTTCCTCGCTTCTTATCGTGCTACTTTCCCCACCCCTTTCTGCCTTTCTTCACTCAGCTCGCTTTGAAGGGAGGAAATTTGCACTTTTGCACAAGCACGAGCAGCAGCAGCAGGCTGGGGATGAAGTGATTCACAGCCTGGAGAAGGGGGAGGGAGGGCAGGGCAGAGGAGTTTGACACTTCTGCATCATTTCCTTTCACATCAGGTTTACTGTTGTTGGTGTCTTGATCTGATTTGTGTCGTCTGTCTGCCTTCTCACTTACCTTCTGGTGGCACGTTGATACTGTGATGGATCTGAGGGCTCTTGTGATCATCTCTGCGCTCTTACTTGTGACTAATGGTAAGTCGGCTTTATTTTGGGGCAAACTGAATACTAAAAGCAAAGCAGGCCTCTCAGTCAGACTGGTTTGTCTCATTTCGCTGAAACTGTGGATGCATTGTAGACGCAGTGCTTAGGGGCACAAGATAAACTCCTCACTTTGTTGCGAGAGGTCAGTAAAGTCCGTCCTTTCATTTAACTTTGCTTTCATCAGACAAACCTTGATGAGCGAACAATAATCGAGAGCTTAGAGCTGTAATGCGGAGCTCGTGGTTTGACATGTTGTCATATATTCACCATGAGGATGAATGAACGCTCGGAGCTGATTTTATGCTAACAAACATCAGGTAAAGAGTGAGCGTGTGGAGGACTCTTTGATCAGTGCATCACACTACAACAACACGACCATCTTACAGTGTCAGCCCTGTTGTTGTGCGTGTGTCACTGCTGAAAACATTCAGTGACCTGCATTGTAACCTTTAGGTCACCTTCTTACCTTAAACGACTATAAAGGTAGCGGTCACTGTGTTACTAACTCACGGGAACACGTCCGTGTCACCAATAATTAACTTGGATATTTTACAGTCCGGAGAGTCTGCTGTATCTCATCGTATTGGTTTCACCTAACTGGCAGCGTCTCCTCTACCACACCACCAACAATGAGCTAAATACTGTCAGCGTCACTAAGAACTCAAAGCTTTGAGCAGCAGCGTCCTGCTCCTCTGCTGAAGGCCTCTTTGTGGAGCTGAACTTAACTAACAGGTGCTTCCTCAAAAAGTGAAGCAGACCTCCGCAGCAGCAAACACTTATTTTCACCCCACAAACTTAAAATAGTAAGTATAGTGTAGTAAAGATAATGTGAATACTGGCCTCCTATTTGTTCACCGAGTTTAACATGTGCACTGACGCCGTGGGCTCCAGTGTCTCCCAGCAGCACAAAGCTGTGGTCCACGGACCCTAAACACTCACAAATACTTTAGACATGGAAACAAAAGGAGCAGCAGGAAATTAGCACTGAGCATGTTTACTCTTTTCAACAACAAAGTTATTTTAACATATCACACGTCGGGCGTTGGAGAGGAACGCTGTGCGTCATGTCATTTGCCATCAGTAGTGAAAACCTGCAGGAGCGTCAAAGATCGGTGTGGCCCAGTCAGCCTCACGATGCACTCCAACAAAAACGGCTTCTGGGAAATAAAACACAGACAAGAGACACACCAGCATGGTGTCAGTGGGTCGTCCTTCCAGTGTCAGTCCGTTTGCTGCTGCGAGTGCAGAGCGCCGTTCCATTGAAGGCGCTGGCGTCTGACCCGCTCTCTGAGACCTCTAATTCATTTCTTCCACTTCACCTTTTTATCCAGTTGATTTTGTGCCGACCGTCACCACAGCCTGGCAGGTCTGATCGGCCTTTCATCCTTCCATCACCTAAAATCTTGTTTTTAATGAAAAGCTGTTACTGACCTTAAACTGCTGACAGAAGCGTCAATTTGAATTCAAGCATCGCAAAGTTTGTCGTAAACCTGAGAAATTCATTATTTTTCTTATAAAGCCGTGAGCTCGATAACACCAGGACAATAAGAAAATTACTGTTAAACACTCGAACATTAAAATAAATTTAAATATATATTTTAGCCTCTTATTAAACATTTAATTCTTGTCTGTTTTGCATCATCATGGCTCAAACGATTGGAAAATGTTGAAAACTATCGATGTGGGATGTTTAAATCTGATTTGATTTAAGGTCGTTCAGGTTCTGTGAACATCATGCAACAACAATGCTGAATATAAATTACAGGAGACACCCACACTGCATGCAGGAAGTTTTCAAGCATCGTTTTTACACTGTTTTATTTTGTGTGTTTGCACCAAGCACGCGTGACTGCAACATGGTTTTTAAATTGTTTTAAACGGGGAAAGAAGTAAAAAACGGAATAAAATAAAACCTCAAAAACAGACAGAAGATAGTTACAAATAACATGAGAATAAAGAGACCAGATGCAGATTATTCACATCCATTAAAATAAGAGATTTCAAAGGTTAAATGTTGATGATTCCAAGTCGTCTGCTGCACATTATTTCATGCAGTACGTGATGATGCAAACAATACAGAGCACAGCTAAAGGCCACCGACACAAGCACAAATCCTCCCTGCATTTACAATCCTGCTGGTTTTACTCAGCGTCAAAACCTTCGTCGTTATCTTAGTGAACTAGGAAGCTGTTAGCAAAGTATCGCCCAAATCATCCTTTGTCTTCATCTTTCTTTTATTTTGGACTGATTTTAATCTGAGCACAGGAAAAACATTTCTGGTGCCGACTCGTCATTAATGTGTGCTGTTCATATGACTCTTCTGTCTTCACCAACATGCTGATATTGTGATATCCCAGCAGTTGGGCCGAGTTTGTGCACCGCTGACTGCGTATTCAGGGTGCTGCGTACTATTGTGTCGATCGCTAGTCTGGAATGGATAGTGATGAGAAAAAGCTATTTTTCTAACCAAAATAAAAAATGCTGTCATAACACCAATGCAACAAATCAATGGTAAACTGCTGTGAACTCATTTTTATTACAACCGAGTATCACCAGCGCTCACACCACAGCGCAGTTACAGCCTGTGCGATGTGTTGTAGCTGCCCTCTTTCAGGCATCAATGATGCACTGCAGAAACAACCGTCAGCTGGACTTTTGATCTTATTTAATCTACAAATCTTCATGAGTTTAGTTACTAAAGTAAATATATGGAGAGATAACGATGTGCTGTGAGTCATTTTTACAGGTAATAATTTACCTGGAATGAGACAAAAACTAGAAATGACATCAGTGAGTCTGAAACCTGCTTTAACTGACAGAGAAAAGCGCACTCTTATTAAACACTAGTTTTACTGGCAGATACGATTTAGCACAGCGTTCGTCCACTAATCTGAGTATCGCTCCCGGTTTCTGCAGAGTTCCTTCATATCTTTGAGCAAGTTACTGAACTGTTGATTATCTGTTGGTGCGAGTGTGTGTAGTAAAGGTAACAGAAGAAGAAGCACTGTATAAATGTGTGATTGTGGCTTGTAGTGTAAAAGCAAGTGCTGGAAAAGTAGAACGTACTTAAATACCCTCCACAGATACTTCAATATCGGCGCGTTACTTCAGCAGCACAATGATCCTGAGCGATGGATCGATAACATGAGACAATGAGTTCGAGATACTAACAAAGACTCATTTTGAGCAGAAAGAGGGAATAAATTCAAGGTGAATTCAAGATGTGATGTTAGTTTAGACCATAGGTGTCAAACTCTGGCCCGCAGGCCAAATTTGGCCCGCAGCCTAATTACATTTGGCCCGCGAAGCCATACCAAATTACTATTAGAGCTGGCCTACTGGTATTATACAGCTAATATATATATTGTTTAGTATTAAGCTTTGCTGTTCCATATTCAGTTTTCCAGCAAAAATTATTTGAGTCCATAAGAAAAGATTCATTCTTAAATCTGGAGGAAGATTTTTTTTCTCCAATAAATATTAATGTTAGCCCGCGACTTTGTTCCAGTTTTGAATTTTGGCCCACTGTGTATTTGAGTTTGACACCCCTGATTTAGACCGTCTACAAAGGTCACCTGTGGTGCTTTCAGGGTCCTCGGATGATCGCTGCCCGACACTGTTGCAGAAAACAGAGAAAGTGCTTCAGAGGGGCCGTCAGCCGCTTTGGCCATTTTGATCTGCTTGTCGTAGCGCAAACAGTCGTTGTTATCGTCAGCCAAAAATGACCATACAATAGAGTTCACATTCGAACGGGCACTGAATTATGCTTTAGGAGTAGCACCCAATGACCTGATACTGTTCATGATATACTCAAAGGGTAATTTTACTGGTTTGATACGTCGGGTACATTTTAATGGTAGTACTACTGTACATTTACACTTTGTTGTTTTAGTTGTCCCTAAAAACGATTGCTTTTTAAAGCTTTCCTGTTCATTCTGATCCACACAGACCTCGACTGTGACACAAGCCAAATAATAAAATAAATAAGAAAAAAATACCAGTAAAAATAAATTAAAAATAACATGCATACATATGAAATGTTTTGTATGTATTCCAGATAAAATTAGCATATTTTATTAGTAAGATAAGTTTGAAATGTGGGTCAGTCTGTACTGTTCATCTTTATATAAAAAGGTCTTATCTGTACATGTTTCCCTACAGCGGTTTAGTCGTGCACATAGTTTCACTTCTGTTTGCAGAGGCTTTGAAATCCATGCCGCTGAAACTTGTGTCACCACTACAGCTCAGCGGCACCAAATAGAAGATGGTTTCTGGTGTTTCAAGAATAAGAAGGTGATATCTAAAAACACATCAGAGCTCACGTACCCCTGCTACTAGTTTACTAAGAAAGTCATCGCTGATTAAAAACTAAATATCCATCAATGAACTTTGATGTCATTTTTTACAGTTTGTTACGGCTCTAAAAAATAACATTTCCAACATGTGAGACAAAATTCACAAAACTATAAATTTGTAGCATCAAGTCTTTTCTTCTGGTTTCACCAATTTCCAAAGTGCTTTGAGTACACTGTTAAAAAAACATCTTAAAAAAACGGTAATAGTCCAGCAGCTGGGGCACCAAAATACCACCTGTAAAATAACTTCCTCATGAAAATACGGTTATTTCCAGTAATGTAAATAGGGTTTGTTGGGCTCATTTCACATGGGATTCTGCCTTTTCCAAGTGCTTTTAGACATTAAATTAGGAACATTTTAACGTGATCAAACAATGAAATTACCTATAAACAAGGTCACTGAATGTGGCAATATGAATCATAATACTTAAAGGTACAGAAATATACAGTTAACTTAAATAATAATGGATTGCATGGCCTGGGACAGACCGACAGAGGCGAGGCTGCCATATCGCACCATCAGCCCCTCTGGCCTTCACCAGTAGGCGGTAGGTGAAGAAATGGCAATGATAATAATACTTATGTGATGTAACACAAGCTTATAGGAATCATGTTATATACTTTTCCATAGCAGTTCAATCTTTCAAATAACGGACAGATATTTGTGAGATCATGATACATTTGTGAATCTGTATCTAAATATGCATATGTACAGACATTTAACAATCATGACGATTATGTTTTATTACATTACAGTGATTTAACGTTAATTTACATTTGAAATGTGAAGTCAGTCTATTTACGTAACTTTAATGATATTCTAGAAGAACAGAGCAAAACTGTAAAATGCAGTAAAATACTTTCATATTAGGATTTTCCTACAGTGCAGCCATACCCGCGACCTTGTGGTTGTTAGTTCACATTCATTGGCCGATGCTTAGCGTCATGTGTCCCAACATCCAATGACATGTCACATTGTTTTCATGGCCACACCCTCACCCCAGGTGCAGAGGCCTCTTTCTGTTCAGGAATGTTGGGAATACTTTGAGATTCATATTAATTGCAATTCCTACCTCTACATTTATTTTTTAAAATATATAATTAGCACAGCGTGGCCGTGCAATGTTTTATGTTTTTATTCCTATTAATTATATTTTCACTTGTTACCTCTGAATTATTGAATCAGACCTGGATGACATGAACTTTTCAGCAAAATTATAATTCAAATACTCCTTTAATTATTGATTATTCTCATTAATTTTCGATCATTTTATATATTTTTCCATAGTATTACATTTGAATTTAACAGATCATTCTCTCACATAACAGACAAATATTTGTGAGATTATGATACATTTCTGAATGTATTTTTACAATCTAAATATGCACATGTACAAAAAATATATTTAAAAACAAGTAAATTGTGTTTTACTATATTTACAGTGATGTTGTGTTATTTTACCTTTGACATGTAAAGTCACAGTCTACTTATGTAAATGTAATGATATTCTAGAAAGACAAAACTGTGAAATATACAGTAAGATACTGTGACATTACTATTTTTTGGAACAGTGTAGAGCAGGTCCTGAATGTGCGTCTGCAGTTGATGAGGATCAAAGGTTTATATGCTGTAATCTGCAGGAGCTTAGCTGGGTCATAGTCAGCTTCACAGCAACGACCTTCCCATGGAAGATAAACTTCAAGGATGCTGTTCCTTGAAAAATCTTTTCGTTTGTTGTTTTTTATTTTCTCACAAACATAATCTTAAAGAATATATTTGTTTCTCTTGTAAATGTATGATTTTGTTCCATGTTTCTTGTAACTTTATTCTTCCCTGCAGGTCGTCTTCATAAGATTTGATTCACAGCGTCTCTAGTCCACATACTGAAGTCCACAACAGAGGGACACATTCATTATTGTTGTACTTTTGTTATATATACTAACTGATATGTCTCCTCCAGGAAATACCCAAACTCCAGACTATACCCAAACTGAAAACTACACTGTCAGCTCCATTTCCCTGACTAGCAGTCCTGTGACAACTGCCACCACCTCTAAAACTACAAACGTTGTGAATAAAGCGCCCAATGCAGTCACTTCTTCAACCAAATGTAAAGGTAATGTTGTGGTAATCCTGCATTTTCTATCCACCGCTTCCTGTTTGGTCAAAAAACAAAAACAAAAAAACAAACACAATTCAGGCATCATTTGAAAGATGTGTGTCAGATCAGAGAGCCATAGCTGGATCGGATTGAAGGCAGAGATCATCAAGGTGACAGCGTTACTGAGAGAGTTAGCAAACAACATGCCAGCCTGTGCTGTGGGTCAAAGGCTGGTCTGCTGTCTGCAGATCTTTGTAGATGTTCAACGGTGCCAATTTCATGTCGTGTGGTTTGACTTGTTTTTTCTCTGCAGACTTTAAGTTGTGCATTTAAGAACTGCAACACATGTGATACTCTTTTAAATTTATGATCGACAACTGAAACCAGTTGTGATCTTGGAGTCTAGACGGCACTGAGGGAAAATAAATACATGAATCTATATTGATTCTGTTAATTTATGCCAGGCCTCAGAAACACTAGCAAACATTACCTGTAAACATGGGTCGTCACTGCACTCACAAACACATTAAGGGTGGAAATGATGCTGTGGTTTCACTTAGTGCAGCTGACAACTTGTCTTCTATAAATATGCTGAAAAAAATCACAGGAAGACTTGGAAAACAAGAAATCAGATCTCAGTGGGGAAACAAACCACGCTGGATATCTAAACTGATATGGCCCAGGGAGTGAGAAGATCCCACACTGTTTGATGGAAATGTAAATTATCACCCTACAGAGGGCTGAATTCAAAGACAGGTGCTGCAGGCTAGTCCATTTTACCTAAATTTCTTTGCAGCAATAGAGCATGCACACAAGCCCCCATGTGTTTGTATGCATGCCTGACAACATTGGGACATGCTCCTAATGAGGAGGAATGTGTACCAGTGTAGGATCCAAGGGTGCAATTTCATCCTGAAAGCTAATGGCAGTCAGGGTGCTGTTGCCAAGCTTGTAGAGGCCTGTGACATCATGTAGATGTGTCCCTAGACCATCACTGATGCAGCACCAAATCGGTCATCCAGAAGAATGTTACAGGCAGCGTGCTTCTCTAGACCCTCTCAGGTCTGTCACATGTGCTCAGTCAACATGCTCTCATCTGTGAAAAGCACATTGTGCCAGTGGTGGACCTGCCAGTTCTGGTGTTCTATGGCAAATACCAGTCCAACTCCATGGTGCCAGGCAGTGAGCACAGAGCCCACTAGAGGCAGTTGCCTGCTCAGGCCACCCTCGTGAAGTCTGTTTCTGATTGTTTGGTCAGAACAATCAGAATCGGTTACCTGCCAAAGGATCTTTTGCAGCTCTGGAAATGCTCACCTTGTTCCTCCTTGCACAAAGGAGCAGATACCGGTCCTCCTGATGGATTAAGGACCTTCTACAGCCCTATCTGCCTTTCTCTTGGACTGTGCTGGGAGACACAGCAAACCTTTTGGCAATAGCACTTATTGATGTTCCATTCTGGAGGAGTTGGACTACCTGCACAACCTCTGTGGGGTCCAAGCATCACCTCATGCTATCGGTAGTGACACCAACCTTAGCCAAATGCAAAACTAGTGAAAAAAACAGTCAGAAAAGATGAGGAACCTGTAAAACCATGCATGTTTTGGAAGTTGTCTCATTGTTGTTCCTGAACATGTTGGTAATGTCGTGAACACAGTAGCAGCTGAAACTAATTAATGACCCCCTCTGCTACTTAACTGATCAGAGCAACTTCCCAAAAGTCTAACTGGCTTCATGCTGTACTCTGATAAAAACGTGGAGCAGTCTGTGTAAAACCACATTAATGCTACATGGCAGGTTTAGGAGCAACATATGCAGATTCTTCACAAAAATGTTAGTTATTTCAAAAAGATGATGCCAAACCTTTGTACTATTATGAAATAAATAAATTATCTGTATACTATTGCGTTAAACTATTATTTGTACTTTACACAGAATACCAGCTTTTATACATACAGTATATGTGCTATTCAGATAATATGTGTGTTTTCCTGTTTGTGTGTGTCCAGCTGAGAAGGACGCGGCACAGCTGAAGACCTACAAAGTGATGACAGCGTTGCTCTTCTGCATATTGCTCATCCTTTTCCTGATGCGCTTCACCAGGCCTACTGTAAAAGCCCTGCAGAAGAGATGTGAGTACACACACAGTCCACAGGTCTTTGTCAGAATAAAATAGAATAGATGACGTGCTGTTGGAAGACTTCAGATTCAAATTGATGCATACTCAGTCATTCAGATAGTGAAATCCAAGAAAGTTCATTCTGCTCATCTGGAAATGGCGTTTTCAATGAGGGGACCATTTCGTTAATCCAAGTGACTTCTTTAGTCTCAGCTGACTCCAGGTTTCCCCAACATTATAAACAGTACATTTGCACAATGACCAATAGGATCATTTTGCAAAAAAATCACCCCAAGGATCTGCTCCATTGGCACAAACAGAGTAATATAGTGTACACTGGTAAGTGCCAGGAGGATCAAGGAGTCGAGGAGACCATCTCTGGAAAAGACCATCTCTGAATCAAGGAGGGGGCCTAAGGGTACAGCTGTCACCATCTTACAATGATGTGATTGCAGCCATAGTCATCTCTGTGTGGATGGTACTCATGGTATTGATCAGTGGTCATGTGACAATTTGCATATTAATGATCATGCAACTGACCTCACAGCCCATTGTTAGCCAGTGGTGCTAGATTTGGTCACTTTGTAAATGTACCGAAGAATAGAATCAACTTTCTGGGAGTGTTTTTAATTGGCACACAACAGAGAAACCAGAGCATGGCATAGCTAACGTGCTGACACACATGTTCACTGTTGATTTCCAGTTTCAGACAGGAGGCAGAATCGTTGGATAGGACCAACACAGAGTCACAGCGGTGAGTCATGCACTCTAAGTCTCAGCTCTAATATCATTGATCACATACTGTATTTCAAAATAGTACCCTGTTTGATATATGGTCATGTAAGAAGTGTTTCACAGGACTCAATGGATTCGATGGCTTGTGGAACTCCTGTTTGTAACAATGTTGCTTTAGATTGTTTGCAGACATTTGCTGTCTTTGGTTTTTACCAAATATGGACTTGTGCATTATGGCCAAGGATTTCATTTTTGGTCTCATTGATCCAAACACTGTTCCAGAAGTCTTGTGTTTTGTTCAAATGCAACTTTAAGTTGTGCTTCCGTGTTCTTTTTTTAAGAAAAGAGGTTTTACCTGGAAATCCTTCCAAAGAACCTATACTTTTGGAGTCTTTTTCATATTGTACTATAATCAGCATTCACAAGCCTGAAGATTAAACTGAGATGTTGCTCCTGGGTGTTGTGACATTTCTTTGAGCAAACCCAGATATCTTGCAGAACTATCTAAGCCATATCTATCCATCCTTCCAAATCAGGGGCTTATTCCATTGGTCACAGGGCAAGAGGATGGGAACACTCTGCATATGACTGATTGTAATATATAGAGACAGACAACCATTCAGCAAGTAAATTATAACTTAGGGCCTTCTTGCTATGAGACAACAATGGAAACAATCACATCACCACGCCACAACCTCCTCTGTATAGCATAATACTCTAGAGTCAAATGTGAGGCCATCTGAATGACAGGTAAAGCTTGACTCAAATTGGGTCAAATATGAGGAAAAAAGAAAATCTGAAAGGTCGACCATGAAAACAATCAAGGTGTTGCAATGGTACAAAGTCCAGACTTCAAAGCGTTTGAAGAGGTCTCTCTCCTCCAAGTCTCTGTTAGTACATGACTCAATAATTGATCAACAAATCGATTTACTCTGCCTTACAGAAACCTGGTTGCAGCAGGATGATTATGTTAGTTTAAATGAATCAACACCCCCGAGTCATTCTAACTACCAGAAACCTCGAAGCACAGGCCGAGGGGGCGGTATTTAAAAGTAGAATGGGAGGCAGTGTCACGTTCAGTTAACGGACTGATGCACAGACCAGAAATCCTTGTAGAGAAGACAGTTTATTGATACAGACAACACCAGGTGATACTATATACAATGTGCTGGAGGGAAAGGAAGGGGATCAGACGCGCTCCAAAGAATCACTCTCCTCTCTCCACAACTGGGTTACACAAATCCACACACTCGTCCACGAGATGACAGGCAGGCAGGGAAAGGTCCGGGAAAGATCTGTACAAATAAACTTTAGTTAGAGGCGAACAGATGGAAACAACTCACAGATTCTGATTCTCAAACTACTGAGCGACTGATGCTGATAGCTCGACGATCCAGCGACGAGTAGCACAGTGCTGCTTCTTAAAGGACTCGATTATGCAGATAGGCAGAGGTGTGGAGATGGCAGTGCGTGGGCCAGGGGCGGGAGCCCATAATGAGCATCGCCCCGGCAGGAGAGAGAGAGAGCAAAAACATCAAAAACACATGTTGCCTAATACAGGATCAGCTGGTGAGCCACAGGCACCATGACAGGCAGAGCCTTCAGTTTTCAGGCCCCTCTTCCGTGGGACCAGCTTCCAGTTTGATTCAGGAGACAGACACTATCTCTACTTTTAAGATTGCCCAATGCAGTCACTTCTGCCGGGGACTCCCATGATGCATTGAGTTTTTCCTTTCAGTCACCCTTATCACTACTGTGTTATATAATCTCTGTCTTTAATCTCGCTCTTTCTTCTCTTCTCTCACCCCAACCAATCACAGCAGATGGCCCCGCCCCTCCCTGAGCCTGGTTCTGCTGGAGGTTTCTTCCTGTTAAAAGGGAGTTTTTCCTTCCCACTGTGCCAAAGTGCTGCTCATAGGGGGTCATATGATTGTTGGGTTTTTCTCTGTATGTATTATTGTCAGTGTTGGGGAGTAACGGAATACATGTACCGCCGTTACGTATTTAAAATACAAAATATGAGTAACTGTATTCCGTTACAGTTACCGTTTAAAAAGGTGGTATTCAGAATACAGTTACTTTGTTGAAATAAATGGATTACACTGCGGTACTTCCCTGTTTCATATTGTCGCGGGTCAGGACTGTTTGGGTTTGTTTGACAGCTACGTTCTGTTGTTCCAGGCGGCAGCGTTACGGTTGCCATGGTTACAGGGTGACGCTCTCTCTCTCTCTCTGCGACTGTGTGTTTCCTGGGTGAGAGAGCGCCTTTTCGTTGTTGTTGTTGTGCTAAGCTAACAGGCAGAATGCTACAAGCATAGCTCTAAAGAATGTAGCATCATGGGCAGTGTAGTCCGTGCTGCAGGGAGAATGGACTGCCATACACGTTATGTGTCTGTGAGCGCGAGGAGGGAGAAAAAGGGGAGTGGAAAGGTACGAGTTCAGTCATCGAGAAAAACGGGAGCTGGAAGCATGTAAATATAATAATAACCACTCAGAGAGAGTGCTGCGACCCAGTTGTATAACTATTAAGACTCGACTGTACACCGTGTTCGTGTTTTCCTCCGAAAACAATAAGTTCCGTTGGAGCAGCCTTTCAACGCCTCTCTCTGTCTGTCGCAAGAAAAGTTGACCCACACAACAAAGTAAAGCTAGTTTTCGGCTACGAGCCGACAGGGACCCCGCCGTATTAGTCAGAGGTCCCTTTACTACAGTTCGGAGTCGCGGACCTTCAGTAATAGTAATAAATCACACGGCAATAGTACATTCACGTTGTTGTAAAAAGCATGATAACATTGTAATGACCTGGCTGGGGTTGTTAGCCAGGTGCATTCTGGGTATTGTGTTGTCTGTGTTTTCTATCGTTCTGCTAGTTCCTATGTGTTTGATTCGCATGTTGTGTTAGTGTTATGTTAATGTAAGCCACAGTGAAGTTGATGTGTGTTCTGTGGAGTGGGTTGAATTGGCGTGGTTGGCTGATACCGCGACTCTATGTGGTGGGAGCGTGATAGGGGTTCGGTGTCAGCAGCGTTACGTTGTTGGAGAAAACGATGGTAAATAAATGCCTGGTGTGAACCACTACTGCCTCCTGCTGGATTATTTGGGGATTACCAGTCCGCTGCTGAGACGCTCGGGGTCGTGCGGTGTATGAGGCACGAGCGCTCTCCATTCATTGCAAAGTTTAGCGATAGCTGCTAGCACCCCGCTAGCCATTTAGCTAGTGAGCAGTTTAGCCAGTTTAGCTCCCCAAACCCACAGTCGTTACAATATATTAAGTAATCCAAAGTATTCAGAATACGTTACTGTCATTGAGTAACATAACGGAATACGTTACAGAATACATTTTGGGGCATGTATTCTGTAATGGAATACATTTTAAAAGTAACCTTCCCAACACTGATTATTGTAGGGTCTACTGTACAGTATAAAGCACCTTGAGGTGACTGTTGTTGTCTTTTGGCACTATATAAATAAAGTTGAATTGAATTGAATTTTAAATTCTGTGACAGGACCTTAGAGAAACATTTATGCAAACACACTGAAGGTCTTCACTAAAGCAACTTTGTAAAGAATATGGAGGCAGAATAAGGATCTGCAAGAGACAGTCATACACAATATGATTACTTAAGGTTATTGCTGCTAAAGGTGGTTCCACAAGCTATTGACTCATAAAGTTTATGTAATTGTCTTATTCACAGGACTGCACTCGTAAATGTACATGGGTGGTTTGTGTGCTTTGTTGATGATCAGAAAAATAAAGGAAAAACATGTAGACATATAAAAAAGTAATGGATATCCCATCTCTTTATGTCTCTTTCAGTGTCTTATCATCGAGGGAAAACGGCAGTTAAAAATAATGATGGAGATAAGAGACACTCCTACCCTGGTAACACACACAAAGTCAAAAAATATGTATAATTATTTCCTCCTTTAATTCTTTACAATATTTGAGAAAATGCATTTCAAATTTTAGAATTTAATTGTTACATACATGTACATATTTTTACAAGTGCAAAAGTAATAGGACAAGTCACTGATAAGGTCATAAAAGAGGTCATAATTAGGCTAAACAGAAGAAAAACATCACAGGTAGAGGAAACTTTAGGACTGTACAAAGCAGTTATTGGTCCAGTCTGTAAAAGAGGAGTACTGAACCTGAACAGACCACGGGAGGTAAACGACGTGGCGGAGGAAAACATTTTCATCCCCGATTTAACAAAAACACCGACTTCAGCATCTAGCCACATCAATAATATTCTCAAAGACCCAGGCATGTTGTTATGAAAAGTATATGAAATATATATAATATATAAATCCAGACTGTGTGTGTGTGTGTGTGTGTGTGTGTGTGTGTGTGTGTGTGTGTGTGTGTGTGTGAGCATCTTTGTGGGGACCATAAACCAGGTCCCCACGAGTTTGAAGGCCTTGTTGAGAGTCAAAATGTGGTTTTAGTGTCAGGATTACAATTAGGTTATGGTGGGGTTTAGGATAAGGGTCAGGGTTAGGCATTCATTTTTAATGGTTAGGGTTAGCACCTAAGGAAAGCATTTTGTCAACGAGATGTCCCCACAAGGCCACAAATACACACACACGTGTGTGTGTGTGTGTCTGTACACAAGAGTTCATTTTTGTTGCTCTAAATCTGATGTCTCTCCTGTGTGCCGACAGCTCTGGATCGTTTGGTAATCTCTGACAGCAGAGAGCCTTCATCCAATAGGAACAGTGACTACAACCTCTGACTTGCATCTTCTTCCATCATCTTCCTCCGTCATCTTCCTCCATCATCTTCCTCCGTCATCTTCCTCCGTCATAATCACTGTCATCATTGTCTTATGTGAGCTGGAAATGTAGTATATTTTCATTTGTAACTATATTTCACCTATTTTGTGAGTCTATCAAGAAGTCACAAATTTAGGTTCAAAGTTATGTAAAAGTGAGTTTCATTGTGGCCTCACCACTGTGAGAGATCCACAGTGAGAGATCCACTGTGAGAGATCCACTGTGAGAGAACAAAAACGTTGCACAGGGTCTCATCCCTGCCCGGCAGCTACAACACCAACCCAAACACTGTAGACCACACACACACACACACACACACACACACACACACACACACACACGCGCACACATGCACACACACGCGCATGCACATGCACGCACACACACGCGCATGCACATGCACACGCTCGCGCACACATTCACGCACACACACATGCACACACACGCATGCACATGCACGCCACACACGCATGCACATGCGCACACACACCAATGCACATGCACACGCGCGCACATGCACACACACGCACACACGCACACACACGCATGCACATGCACGCACACACACGCATGCACATGCGCACACACACACACCAATGCACACACATGCACACACGCACACGCACACACACACATGCACACGCGCACACGCACACACGCGCACACACACGCACACACACGCACACACACGCACACAATATTCATGAATGACTGTACAGCACACAACTTTGTAGTAGGTAACATCCAAATCAATTCACCCAATTCTTGTTTTGAGAGTGATGTCAGAGAATGCTGTGCAATCATTCCACCCTGGAAAAGAACAAAGCCATTAAAAGGAGCTTCATCAAATCAGACATCTGTTTATAGTTTGTTGTCAAGTGCCAATCATGTAACGTTTATATCAATAAAACATACAGGATGTAGCACACACACCTAGATTTCCAAGTTTACGTTAATGTAGTTGAGTTTTTTCTCAATCACACAGCTATAAAACCACATCTATTCTAAAACAGTCGTATATAACCTTAGTGCAAAGCTCCCCATGTTTCTGTGTGTCTGAATGTAACTCTTTGTTTCTTTTTGGTTACACCACCTGCAGCTTTGTCCAAATTACTCTCGACACTGAAACAGATGGCGTTTTACATGTTGTGCAAAGCCTGTAACTTAACCATGAATAAATATAAGACAGAGACAGGACCATTTAAATCATTTCTACATCTCTGACATGTGAGTTGTCGCCCTCATCCTCTCAAACTTTAACCAAATCCTTTGTCCTGTTTTGCAGAGCCTTATCTCCATCACAGTCCATTTAGTTTTAGTTTAATCTACTTAATCTATTAATATCTCACACACATAAACATTTTTAATTAGGGGTCTCTGCCTTACAGTGTAAAGCACCTTGAGACAACTTCTGTGTTTAAATATAACTGAATTGAATAAAGTTTTGAATTGCGTCACATTTTGATGTGTTCATGAGCAACAAACTCCTGGGTGGAGTTCGGCTCACATCACCCAATGATTCAGAAGAATCCACTAAGCAATTAGAAATGTCTAAAGTTGTTTTTTGTTTTTTTATTTAATGTTTAATATGAAAGTTCGTCATCAAGAAGGATTGAAAACAGAAAATGCTATTTTAAGCAAGCACTCCAGCTTTTTAAATGGTAACTTGCAGATAAATGTTTTTCTTTCTGTGCTTTATTCTATTAAATGTTGTGTCTGATTGAGTATAACTCTAGTGTTAGTGCAGTTAGTGGCCTCAGCGGCTTCACAGCCCTTTTCACTTTACTTTTTACTTTGCTTGCTTACAAGTTTCACAACTTGAACTCTTTGTGCGTGAATAACCAACGATGACCCTGAGAACTGCAGGAACAATCTTCAACATGTTGTAAATATTCTCCTCATCAAAACATTTTCAGAAAAAGAACAATTGGAGCGTAACATGGTAATATAGTACTGTTTGTTATACTAAGTGCAACTTTTTGTCATAAGTAAAATGATTCAACCAAGTTGACCTGATTGTTTCTTTGAACATTTTGTTGATTTTAAAGAAGACAGAAAGACAAAGAAAATGGGGAGAGACAGGGATGAAGGTGGTTACCGAGTGCAGAGATGTGGTTTCCTTTGCCGTTGACACCAGCTTCCTGTTTGTGTTATTTCTGGTGCAATCTGTATGTCTTCCCTCTTGTCTTTCATTAACTCTCTCTCATGTTCTCTTCTCATTTCTATCAGCCCTTCCTTGTTCACTATGCTCATTTTTCCATCTCCTGTGTGGTGAAGTGAGGGCTGAGGGTTGAGCTGTTCGTGTCACACAATGTCTCGACTACCACTGAAAGGATTTGAACCAAAAGCTTCTTACTGATGAAAACTTCAGTGATGTCACTGTAGAGGAGTCCTTTCTCCTATAACCTCACAATCACCATTTCTACACACTTTGTGTTGCAGATTTTAAATAGAGTTTTTTAATTGCCATTTTGTCATGTGGTCTTAAAGAGCTAACCAATGATATACCAACTAAAAGCTTTATAAGAATAAAAGTCTTCCAATAAGGAATTTGTATATTGAACAAGAAAAAAATAACTCCACATACATTGTGGCTACTGGGAGTATTGTAATACAACCAGTAATGGTAATGCATTGTGCATTATTTCTTTTTTCATAATTTATAAGGTGGCATAAATGCAGAGAAAACTATAACAGAATGAACTGCGGTACTGCACAGGAAGACAAGTATGTGGGGCTGGGACAGGTGAGCCTGGGATCGGCTCGATGGACTGTGATGATGATTGCAGGCCGAGCATGTGGGGGCACGTACAGCTGGAAACTGCTCTATGTTTTTAATGTTGATTGTTATTTTTACACCACTGGACCGGAAAGGTCACCTCATTCCTTTAGTCGTGTTGGTACTAGCTCATGTACCAATCACATCCATTTTGCTGCATCTATGTATAGTTTATTTTTCTCTTTCTCTCGCTCTGTCTTTTCACTTTTGTTTGTCTATCTGTATCAACCACATTTTCAACAATAAACTGAAAAGATACATGAGCACACAGGAGGTAGGGGAGGGGCTGGTTGTGTTAAGAGATTTGGGTAATCCAGTGTCAGTAATGAAAATGAACAAATGGGCTGCTGTCAGTGGTTGTAGGCTTGGTGCACAGCACTACCTAGCCTGCTATAAAACTATATTGACCCATTGCCCCACATGCTCTTCATGCCACCTGGCAAATACCTGGCATGTCAGATTACCATTTCAGGCCTGGTGGCAGCCAATGGCAACACGAGTTGAACAGGCAAGTTTGTAGCAACTAATCCATCTTTCATATAATCACTCAAACCATGTAGGAACCCTCCAGAGAGAGCCTTGTCCTCCCTGCTAGCCAAAACAGCCTGGCTCTGACACCATCACTCTTTCTGTGAATGGAAACTGTAAATGTGCTGGAAAGCAAACAGAAGGCAGCCATGCTCATTGGCACAGTTCAGCAGAACTCTGATGAAGCAAAAAGGAAAAGACCATGGCTGTGTGTTGGCTTTGTCACAATAAACTGGAATATAACCAGTCGAAGTCAGTAACCATGTAAACATGTTAACATTATATATCACACAAACTGGAGCACACAGTGGTGTGAAAAGGGTTTGCCTCCTTCTTGATTTCCTATTTTTCTTTACGTTCGTCACACTTAAACATTGCAGATCATCAAACAAATGTAACTATTAGACAACAATAACACAAGGAAACATAAAATGCGGTTTCTAAATGAAGGCATTTATTGGTAAGGGGAAAAATCCAAACCTACATGGGCCTGTATGAAATGTCTTTGCCCCCTATCCTAAAAATGTAATTTAGGCTCGCTCATCTTTGACCCCACCCCTCCAAAGTCTTCATCTTGTTTTTCCTAAGCCATGCAGAGGTAGATATTCTGGTGTGTTTTGGATCATTGGCCTGCTGCAGAACCAGGTGAGCTTCAGCTTGAGGTCATGAACAGATGTGCGGACATTCTCCATCATGTTTTGGTAAACAGCAGAAGTCGTGCTTCCATTTACCACAGCAAGTCTTCCAGGTGCTGATGCAGCAAAACAGCCCCAGACCATCACGCTGACACCAACATATGTTACTGTGGTATGATGTTTTCTGAAATGCTGTTACTTTTACTCCAGAGTGTTTTTTCAGAAGTCTTGGAGATCATCAAGATGTTTTCTGTTAAAACTGAGACGAGCCCTTATGTTCCTTTTGCTCAGCAGTGGGTTTCGTCTTGAACTCTGCCATGTAGGCCATTGTTGCCCAGTGTCTTTCTTTCTTATTTCTTACATATATGTATATATATAGAGGTAAGTTACTGCCTCATCTTGAATATCTATATTATTACTGAAGAATGTTATTTCATAATGTACTAACTGAGTTATTAAACTTTCTTCATACAACAATAACTCCTCTACGCACTTTTGGCCCATGTTGCACAAAGAAACAAAAAGATCTTGTTTCTCAACACATCCAGCTCCAACATCTGTTAGGAGGACATGGACACACCCGTGATCTTCTATCCTGTCGTCCTCCTCTCACCCCAACCAGTCGCAGCAGATGGCCCCGCCCCTCCCTGAGCCTGGCGCTGGAGGTTTCTTCCTGTTTAAAGGGAGTTTTTGTCAGGGCTCTGAGTGCGGGCAGGCGGAGAGGAGGATCCAAACGCAGGACTCAGACACTAACTTGAAACTCAAAAACCTCAGCTTTATTGCTGGTACGAAAACAAAACATGACGTGAACACTGAATACGGAGAACAGAAACACACAGGCACAATCTGATGGCACGACACGACACCGAGCATGGGAAAACACAGGGCTTATATACACAGGGTAGTAACGGGGGAATCGGCAACAGGAGGGAGACACAGCTGGGAGAGATCAGGGCTAACGAGACATGGGGAACAAAGCTGCACACACTAACATAAGACAAAGACTTTCACAATAAAACAGGAAACATGAATCGCAACTCAGAGACACGGACTCAACACAGAGACAGAAAATGACACATGGAACTGAACTATACACGAAACCACAATTCCTAAAACATGGATAATAGAAACATGAAACTCTAATAATAATCATCACAACCACAACAAGAGAACAAGAAAACAATCCATGATGCAAAATTAAACCAAAACATAATAAACTCAAAATACTGGGTCCAACGGACCCAGAACCGTGACAGTTTTTCCTTCCCACTGTC